GCTTGAGGCTCTGTCAAAAAAAAAAAAAAAAAATACCTGGGCTAAAGTGATCCTCTTGCCCCAGCCTCCTCAGCAGGTAGGATTATAGGCACACATCAGTACATCAGGCTAATTTTTTAATTTTTATATTTGATACAGATATGGTCTATGTTGCCCAAGCTAGTCTCAAACCCCTGGCCTCAAGTAATTCTCCCACCTTGGCCTTCCAAAGTGCTAGGATTAGTTTCTAAATGCAAAGTTTGAGGTCAGTGCCCATAGCTCAAATGGTTAGGGTGCCAGCCACAAACACAGAGGCAGGTAGGTTTGAACCCAGCCTGGGCCTGCTAAACAAAAATGACAACAACAAAAAATAGCCAGGCACTGTGGTGGGCACCTGTAGTCCCAGCTACTTGGGAGGCTGAGGCAAGATAAACACTTAAGCCCAAGAGTTAGAGGTTGCTGGCTCGGGGCCTGTAGCTCAAGCAGCCAAGGCGCCAGCCATATACACCACACCTAGTGGACTCGAATCCAGCCTGGGCCTGCCAGACAACAATGACAACTACAACCAAAAAAAATAATAATAATAATAGCTGGGCACTGTGGCAGGCACCTATGAATTGCTTAAGAAAGAATTGCTTAAGCCCAGGAGTTGCAGGTTGCTATAAGCTGTGATGCCATGGCACTCTACCCAGGGCAACAGCTTGAGGCTCTGTCTCAAAAAAGAAAGAGTCAGAGGTTGCTGTAAGTGATAGCACAGCACTCTACTAAAGGCAACATAGTGAGACTCTGTCTCAAAAAAAATAAATATGTAAATGCAAAGGTTTGTTGCTTTATCTAAAATTAGTAAGAATATCCAGACATAAATTGGGAAATGCTAACATACACTGAATCTGGATGATGGGTACTTAAGTGCCTATTATTATATTTTATCAGATCTAAAGATACATTATTATGTCATATACAATTTTAAAGGTGTTAAAATACCAGAAAATCACTTGGGAGACATAGGAGGGAAGATCACTGAGCCTCGAACTTCAAGGCTTCAGTGAACTGTGACTGTGCCACTATACTCCAATCTGGGCAAGAAAGCAAGACTCTGTCAAAAAAAAAAGGGGGGGGGAGGTCAGAAAAAATTGTGTATCATAGAATCAATGAAACAAAATCATGTTTTGCTCCTTTCTCTATGTTTAAAATAGTTCATAACTTTTTAAAAATCCATTATCCTTCGGACATGGGACATTAACCCTGAGTTAACAACCCAAGGTAATTCCCCAAAAACTTTATAAAAATCAGCTATCCCATGAAAAAAGCCAACAATCCCATATAGCAATGGGCAAGAGACATGAATAGAACCTTATCCAAAGAAGACAAACGTGAAAAAATGCTCATCATTCCTAATTATTAAGAGAAATGCAAATTAACACCACCCTGAGATACCATCTAACCCCAGCGAGAATGGCCCACATCACAAAATCTCAAAACTATAGATGCTGCCATGGATGTGGAGAGAAGGGAACACTTTTACACCGCTGGTGGGACTGCAAACTAATATAACCTTTTTGGAAGGAAGTATGGAGAACCCTCCAAGAACTCAAACTAGACCTCCCATTTGATCCTACAATCCCATTACTGGGCATCTACCCAGAAGGAAAAAAATCCTTTTATCATAAGGACACTTGCATTAGACTGTTTACTGCAGCTCAATTTACAATCACTAAAATGTGGAAACAGCCTAAATGCCTACCCAGGAATGGATTAACAAGCTGTGGTATATGTATACCATGGAATACTACTCAGCCATTTAAAAAAAATGGAGATTTTACAGCCTTTGTATTAACCTGGATGGAAGTGGAACACATTATTCTTAGTAAAGCATCACAAGAATGGAAAAGCATGAATCCTATGTACTCAATTTTGATATGAGGACAATTAGTGACAATTAATGACACAATGGGGGTGGGGGAAGGGGAGGGCAGAGAGAGAAAGGAGGGAGGGGTGGGGAAAGGAAGAGCAGA